CTGTAGGCACCTTCTCTCGGTGCTCGGCGCCATGGCGACGGACGCTTAGCTCTCGGCTCAGCAGCCATGGAAAAAATGAAGGGGCAAGGACCAGAGGAAGGAGAGGGTGTGGAGTGAGCAGCCGGTAGGTGGGGCGACTGCCCTACCATGCCGATAGGGTGGCTCCGCCCGGGCTTGGACTCACTACCACGTGTGTACACATGAGATGAGGCTTTGAACCATTATGGCCAAAGGAAGCCGAAGGGATATGGATTGCACCACAAGTAGCTCCAAAACCTATGAAAAACGTGGGTTTAAGGAGAGTGAGAGTAGCAAGAGAAGAGGAACATGCCCCTTGATACAATCGTCCATTATTAAAAAATAAAAGAGAGAAGAGGAGTAAGGGACCACAAGTGCTAATGGTTAACAACTAAAATTAGTACCAGTTGATCGAGACCTCTACTAATAGACCAACTAACTATTAGCTAGAGGGCTGCTATGTATTAATTCTATTAGTAGGTTTAGAACTGCTAATAGGCGCTAATAGACGGTTAAGAGACAAATTTATCCTTCGCAACCCTGTCCACTCGTCTGCACTCACCTCCGTTCCAAACTTTCAACCCTGATGTAAGTCATTGACTTTCCTAGAGAGATTTGGGCTGCTACAGTGGGTGTTCGGTGGTCCAAAGAGCAATGCTGAGGAAAAGGAAAAAATGAAGGGCCATATGGACAAAATCCATCTGCAACACTCTTTTTAGCCACCCATTAGCAATTTGTTAGCAGTTAGATCTAAACAACCACCTACTAATAATTAGATCCTATTTGACAGAGCTCCACGAGCTCCATATTCACGGAAAACAACTCCACTCCATTAAATTTTACTAAAATGCTCTAGCTTCACGAAATATGGATCTGCCAAAGTCACAGATCTAGGACCAGATCCATGGTTTTCATGGAGCTCCTCAAGAGGTGATCCATGAATGTTGGTTTCATAGTTCCTTGTGGAGTTTGGTGGTAATTACCCATCAATACCACTGATTACACACATCCCATCCAACATACTGATCCATTTCTATTATGTCTGTCTTCTTCTCCACTCAACCGATCAAGAGAAAAAAAACACCACGCCTCCTGCTCCCGCACCGCCACATCCAGAGATCCGGCGGCCTACTCAGGCGAGCCAGTGATGGTCGGATCAGGTAGATCCAGCCCCCTCCACCTCCCCCACCCCTTCTCTTCCATAGTCATGGTAACACCTAGCTAGGGTTGGGTTTTCACGGCAACTGTGGGGTCTAGAGCTGTTGTGGAAACCAAACAGCTTGGACAAAATTCCCTATTTAGCATCGGAAGATGATACGGTTCCTTATTTAACATTAAAAAAAATAAAATTTTCTCAATATAGCATTGGGTTCTTTTTTTTCCCTATATAGCACTGTCGTTATATTTGGCCTCTAACACTGTCAACTATGAGTCAAAAAGACCATTTTACCCTGTTTCATTTATTGCACGGCTTTTTTTTTACAATATCATTTTCTTAGAAAATTAAATATTTTTTGACAACACAATTTTTCTGGACCATGAATATTTTTTAGGAGTACAATTTTTTTGCATAGATTATTTACAACAATTCTTGATGTACGTTTCGTTCGGTAACAAAAAAATGATTGTTATCCACAAAATTGTGAATCGGGGAACTAGGCTTCAGGCTTCAGCGATTCTCGCGTGATTTATTTTGAATCGAGGTGCTTGCTGGGCTCTCTGAGACTGTGACTAAGGTCCTTGTGCTCTAGTTTGGTCGAGCAAGCCGCTGAGCTGGATAAATTTTAGGCATGCCAATTTGGTTGGTTGACTAGGGAGAAATGATGTTTTCCACAGAGCTCTGAACTTGTTCAGTTTGTTTACTCCGCTTTGGTTGGCAGACTGATTGTGTCACCTGGGTCCCCGATCACTATATTTTTTCTGACACTTGATTGAAGGAGCAGGGGACCCGGTTTCTTCAATGTAGATTACTGGGATTCTCGTGGAGGTTAGGGGTCTAATCAAATTATTTGTTTTGGACATTGGAGTCATGATTGCTGTTACTTAACATTTAGACTTCGTCTACTCTATTATTCATTTCCTAAAACAATTTTGTGGTCTCAAAGTCATGGATACACAAGAATTAATTAAAAATATATACAAATGCCCTAAAACAGTGGCAGTGTTATCGACAGATTAATCAGTGTTTGAGTGTTCCGGACCTCTGGGAGGCAGCGGAGAATACCAACCTCAGCGAGCAACCGGACCGGACTGTGTGGCGCTGGACGCCAGATGGGAACTACAGCGCCAAATCAGCCTACACAATGCTGCACACAGGTTCCGTCCCCTTTCGAGGTCACTCCCTGATTTGGAAAACGTGGGCGCCGCTGAGGGTGAAATTTTTCCTGTGGCTCGCGTTCTGGAGGCGACACTGGACGAACGATCGCCGGGCAAGACATGGGCTCGAGGCAAGGGAAGAATGTTACCTCTGCGATCAGGCGGCGGAGACGATTGACCATATACTGTGCTGCTGCCCCTTCTCAAGAGAGGTTTGGTTCCATATCTGCCGAGCTCTAGACCGCCCTTTGCCGCCATTGGAGCAGTCTGTCTTTGCGTGATGGAGACGCCTCAGAGCAAATTGGAATCAACAGCACAAGAAGGGTCTCGACTCTCTATTCGCCCTCGTCTCCTGGCAAATCTGGAAGGAGCGGAACGCTCGATGCTTCTGATGGTCATCAAGGCAGAGGCTGATCAATGGGTTCAGGCGGGGGCCAAGGACCTAGGAAGTTTAGCTTGTAATCCAAAGATGTAGCCCCTAGTGATCCCGGCCTCAGGCCGGTCATTTGTAAAAACTTCTATTTCCTTCTTAATACAAAGATACGCAATGCTCTTGCGTATTCGAGAAAAAAAAAGTGTTTGAGTGTTACCTGCCACCATAAGTAGAGTACTTATGTTTGGTTCAGTGTTTGTTGCTAAAAACTATACATTGATTGCAAGTTTGCATCCAATATGTTGTTTTGAATTTAAATTTTAGTAACGTTCTTTTTGGAGAAATTGTGCCAAAGAATGCAGGGGGACTATGCAATCACCATGCCGCCTTGTCAAACAGATGATACAGACTGTCTGCTAATGAGCATCTTTTAATTAGTCATCTACACAGAAAAAAAAAGGTTGTTACAATTTCTTTTCCAATTAATTGGAAGAGGACATATGGCTCCATCCATTGTCCTCTTGGGCTCTGCCATTGCTGTCCTGATGTTTATACAGTTATTTGGCTAGTTGCCTGACATAATAATTGCAACATTGAATTTTTGTTAACTCTAGAGTTATGAACTATTGTTTCTTGGGCATCAGTACATGATTTTGCTTGGCTGTCTATGTAATCTGTGTGCTCTTATACATTTTTTTCATAAACTGGGGAACAGATTGGCAATGTAAATTGCATTTTTTGAAATATACTTTGTGTCCACAGTTTCCACTGGATGGAATGTAGCTAGTAGCTTCAATCTGAGTTTTTTTTTCTGTATCCCTGTAACCTAAACTATACTTGGGATCTGTTAATTTTTATTATTTTACTGTTTTTTTGGAATCATGAACATACTTGTTACAGAAACTAGAAATGTACATGTAGTAGCTGCTGAAGATATATCCACTTATCTAGTTACTGTGCACTTCCCAGTTCCCACAGAACCTAGTGCAGAAAGAAAATTTTGTAGGCAATGAGAAGCAGGGGGTGCAGCCTACAATACCCTTCAAGAGAAACCGTCACCGAAAATATCTGGCTGCCAAATAAATCTTCATCAGAGCACATATTGTCATATTCTGATTTTTAAGCTTGCAAAGGGAAAAAAACATTACAACAATGGTGCATTTCAAGGTACATTTCTTCTTTTGAATTTTAGTATTGCTTATATTATTTCCGATGAGAGATCTCCATGCATGCATTATTTGAAGTTAGTTCACCATCTGTCACTTTAATAGTGTTAAATATTAAGCATCCCAAGCAACTTTAGCTATCAGCAGCCAGAAAAACACGGATTAGAACAAATGGTTGTATTTCTACCACCTAGCGGTTTGGTAGCTTATGGTACAGAAAAAATGGCCGAAATAGAAACAACAAACCGTACATAGACTTATACATTAACTCATTGATTTATGCCAAGGCAGTTAATTAGGAAAGGAGAAACCACGGTGCACCACTAATTATAATTTGTGTAAGCGAGGAACATCGCGTGGGTTAGATTGATTGATTGCCATGTATAGGATAAATGTGAACCTATATATTGGCAGCCATAGGGTGAGCCAGAGCTACAGGCACGGGCAACCCCTAAGCGCATGGGCCTTGGCCAAAACACGGCTTAAACCTAACCAGCCCACTGACAGTCTGTCTAACAATTTGTCTGACACAATGCCAGTGCCCAGTAGCATCATTTTTAATTCTTAAATCTTGGTGCATGATTTTTGTGTACTTTCCATTTATTGGAATCATCTTAGTATCACTGTTATGCATAAACTGAAGTTTTATTTCTCTCAGCACTGCGCTTTACTCATTTGAGACAGTTTCTTTGTCAGTCATCTAAAAGTATATCAGTATTGAGTACACAAGGTGCATGAAAATAATTCTTGTTGCATGCTTTGGAAATAGATTCTTCCTTGCAAATCAATGACTAGGTACTTCGGTTCTCTTATTCAAAAAGGCTTATGTATGAAAAATGCCATTAATCATGCTAGACATGGATCCTCCATTTCATTTTGCATTGAATACCATATGTTCAATCAACCAGCTGGAGTTCTCTCCGTCATCAACCCTGACTCCAAAAATTGCTTCCACTACCAAAATTGAATTGCTGTTGATTTCTTATTTACTTCCAGTAACCACATCAATCAAATAATCAAGAGGGCATTCCTTGTATTGTTACAGATTCGATTTGAGAACCCTTGAATCTTTCGATATCTTGATTGAACTGATCATATCTTTTATCATGTCCTGCAACAATGGTAGATCATGTTGAATTTCGCTTGGTATTAGCCCAATACTCAGCCACAAGTTTAGCAAATGCTGATTGTTTGTCTTCCAACAGCTTGGCTGGCGTTTCATATTCTAGAAGCTTCCCTGCACAATTGGAAAATCATCATCATGAATCGTCCATATATATAGACTTATAGAGTAAGCTTGGTGATATACTTCTAAATATATCATATAAGGCATTGATAGTTTATCTGTCATACTGGTAGTCCGAGGAATGAATTAATTTTTTTGCAAATGCTACATGACCGAAATGTTTTGTATAGCATACCGTAGGACAAGACCATGACCCTGTCACTGTCTGTCACAGTTGGTACCCTGTGAGCTATGGTTATAACCGTGCAACTTGAGAACTGCTGCCTGATTACTTTCTGCAGGATTGCATCTGTTGCAGAGTCGATGGATGCCGTCGCCTCATCTAGAACTAGAATTTTGTTCCTGCGGAGGAGAACTCTGCCAAGACAGAAGAGCTGACGCTGTCCAGCACTCCAATTATCGCCATCATCACTCACTGCCACAATTTTATTTTGCATGAACAAACGGAATGTGTTTAATCTCTCTTTAATAAGGTATAAATTGCTTTGGGTATAATTCTATCTTCACGTACCAACTGTATCAAGAAGAGCAGAGGTGCTGCTGATTGCTGTCTTCAGTTGACACTTCTCCAAGGCCTGAAATGGTCATTGCATGTACATGTAGTGCATATCAGAAAACATGAGACTTTTATTGTTCACACGGGCATGTAGCAATATGGTTAAGTATGATTAGATCTTTAAAAATGGCAAGCTTCTACTGCTTTTGGTGACAGAAGGGGTATGTAACATGGCTTTACTAGGAACTGTGTTATGTAAGAATTTGCATTTACACTTTTAAACTTGTTATAGTTTTGGAGTCATAACAGTTTTTCTTACCTCCCATATCTCTTGATCAGAATGCAGGCCAAGGGGATCCAAATTGGTGCGCACGGTTCCCCTGAAAAGTGTAGGTTCTTGAGGAATAATACTTAGTTTATTTCTTAGATCCTTAAGGCCAATGGAGCAAATATCCAACTTGTCAATAAGTATCTTCCCACCCGCCGGATCAACGAGACGGAACAATGAGCTGATAAGTGTTGATTTCCCACTTCCGGTCCTCCCTACAACCCCAATCTTGTTCCCAGCAGAAAAAGTGCAAGTGATTCCTTTGAGGACAAGCGGTGCGTTTGGACGGTATCTTATCTGCTCATTTAGTACAAGACAGCGAGTCAATTTCTCAGAAAGCTTCTATGAGATTGTGGAAAACAATCATCCTATTATTTACCTTCAAATCTTGCAGGTCTATCCTTCCCTCCTGTGGCCATGAAGTTGGAGGTCTATTTTCTGGTATAATGGCCGGTGGCTCCACTGGGAGGTGCATATACTGCTTGATTCGTTCAACAGAGATGATGTAGTTTTCCAAGTAGGAATAGAACCTTGTCAAGAAAACTTGTGCTGAAGTCAACGTCAAAGCATAGGAGAGACAAAGTCCTGCAAAGCCTGAAATAAGAACATATTGGTTACATTTCATCAGTCCAAAGATACCATTGGGAAGGAAGATCTAGTTATAATGGTAATGTGGGTACCTGGAGAAATTGCTCCTGGAGGAACCAGAACAAGGAACAATGCTGCTGTGATTATTGTCAAGGACTGCAGTGCCTCTACTCTTATGAGCACCCACTCTTGTGCTGCAACGGTATGGAAGAACAGTGTCGCATCAGTGTCGATAAGCTGCATGTTGCTGTGGATAAACCTCTCAGTTGCTGCAAATGCCCTGATCGTCACCACACCAAGAATTGATTCTGACGCATAGTTCATTACAGGTGCCTTTGTTGTTCCATTGATTCTTACTAGCTCCCTAGCTGAGGAAACGTAGTACCTCTTCATGTTTTGATTGGAAACTATGTGTTAGCTCAAAAACTCGCTAGATACATTAACTAACTAGAGTTATTTCTTGCAGCAATGTGTACTGACCTGAACATATATCATGGTGATCGTAACTGGGATAGCTACAACCAAGACTTGCCAAGTTACAGTACCCATGACCAGTACTGTGGTAACAACCTCAATACCGCCCGTCGCCACAAAAGCCATGGAGTAAGGTATGTCGAAGTCTAGAATGCTTAAATCTGAAGATGCCTGCACAGGCCAGCATTTGTATTTTAAATTTCTCCTTTTTGAAAAAAGTTATTACTATCTTGTTATGATCTTATTTGTATAAAATACGGTAAAATAAAATAACATTCATACCCTTGTTAAAATTCTTCCCACTGGTGTTGAGTCAAAAAATGACATGGGAGCCTTGAATACGGAATCCATTAGCCCGCCAAAGAATGCTTTGGAGGCCTTTAGACCCAGATTAGCCGCAAAAAGGCTTCTAAAGTAGGCGAAGCAGCAGCTGAAGATAGAGAGTCCAGAATATGCCCCAACAAGAAGTGCAGCACTGACGCTATCCATCTGAACAGCCACCGCCAACCAATATGTGGATGCGATCTGGAAGCACGTGAAGAGCACCTGAGAAGTACACATGCCAGAGAATTGGAAAGCCGCCTTGGGTACATTTATGTAGTCTTTGTATGGCTTCCATCCCAGGTCACCAGTGCCCTTCTCTTCCTCTTCTGTAAGCTGTATTGCTGCTGAAGGTCCCTTTGCGGTGACTTCGATGTCGCTGGCCTGCCTTATAACCTGCAGTGCACTTGGCACTATGTATTCATCAGACGCTTGTTGCCCTTGATCTTGGTTCTGTTGGCTAGCACTAGTATCCAATGCTGTGATCGAAGACTGGTGAGCAGAAACCAGCTTCTCAAATGCTGTCCCAGATCCCAGAAGTTCTGAATATTTCCCTTGTTGACTAACTTGACCACCTTCCATTACCTGTTGAATAAATTGTAGTCTATGAAATGAGGACCCCTGATATAAAGAATCACAAACAATTGTGCTCAGAGTATCAACTTACCAGAATTCTATCGGTTTCGGTCAGAAATTCAACCTGGTGGGTCACAAGAACAACGGTCTTCTCTGCAAGTGCTGTCATTACACATTCCTGCATGAAACGTTGCCCTTAGAACTGCGTGAAGGAGAAAACATACCATTTTATGGATACTGATCGAGGAATTTATCTGCAGCTTACATAAAAAAGAACCGCAGCAGTGTGTGCATCAACTGCACTGAATGGGTCATCCAGTAGATAAACATCTGCATCATTGTAGACGGCTCTAGCCAGCTGAATCCTTTGCTTCTGACCTCCACTCATGTTCAGTCCTCTCTGACCAATCTCTGTGAGGTCTCCATGATCAAAATTTTCGATATCCTTGTCCAGAGCACAAGATTTGATTGCCTTATCATACAGTTCCTTGTTGAAAGGCTTCCCGAAGAGTATATTGTCACGAACAGTCCCACTCTGTATCCACGAGGTCTGTGAAACATATGCCACTGAACCAAATACTGCAACCTGCAAAATACAATTTTGTTGTATTCTCAGTTATTATAACATATATATGATTGAAATATTTTATAGTGTAAAAAAGCATTAAGCTCCTGGTCACTTACCGATCCTGATATTCTTGGTATCTCCCCAAGTAATGCATACAGGAGTGAAGATTTCCCTGAGCCAACTGGGCCGCATACGGCCACCTTCTCTCCTCTATTTATGCGAAGGTTAACATTCCTCAGTGACAAATCAGCTCCGCTTGCCTTCCAGCTGAAATTTCCATCTTGGACTTGAATTCTGACACCAGAGTTATCTGAAGGTACTCTTTTCACATCCTCCTCTCTGATCTCGTCTTCGAGAAGAAACTTCTCAATTCGATCTAATGACACCTTGTACTGGATCATCATTGTGAGGATCTCAGGAAGGAACCTCACTGGCTCAGCCATTACCCTCAGGGTGGCCAAGACCGTGAAGAGTGTGCTAGCATTCAGGGGAGCACTCCCCATGATGGCCGTAGCTGTGTACATCACAGCAGAGACGACCGTCGGGGACATCCAGTACATGACTGCACCGTAGGCCTTCTTCATCTGGGTCTCCCTCAGCCATTTGAACTCCCTGTCCCTGAACGACTCGATCATGTGGCGGAACTTGTCTTCCCATGACTGCAGCTTGATGATCTTCATGCTGTTAAGTATCTCGGACGTCGACCGGAGCCTCTCGTCCTGGGCAACCATGAACTTGGCCTGGTACCCTTGCAACATTTTCGCGAATGGCACGTTGAGGAAGCCAAAGATGACAAGGGGGACCAGACCAGGAAGAGCCCCAAGCTTGAGTGCCCAGAAGAGCGTGGCGACTGCGAAGACCAGCTGAAGTGGCGAGCTCCACCCCATGTGCAGCCAGCTGATGGCGTCGCCAAGCCGGTACGCATCGACCGCAATGTAGTTGACGATCTCGCCAGTGGGTGGTTGTTCCTCCCCTGACTGGACAGCCTGAGCTGCTTCCGGAAGATGACCGCCATCAGCGCTGACCGGATGCGCATCCCGGTCCTCCTCGAGTCAAAGAACCAATGCCGCTGCGACAGGGACTCGACGAGCTTGGTGAGCAGCAGGCAGCCGACAAGGGCCAGGCCGACCCGGAGGTCTCGCTCCTCCTGGTTGCTGTACCACACGAACGCGAAGAGCAGCAAGGGGGCAACTGCTACGGACAGCGTTCTCAGGAAGGCGTAGAAGCCGGTGAGCAGGATCTCGCCGAGGAAGCACTTGCACAGGACGAGGGCGAGGCTGTTGCTGCCCACTCTCCGGCGGCTCCTGGCCTTGTCACTCACGTGGCGGCTCCAGGCCTCGGCAAACTTCTGCGATGTGTGGTGCGCGGTGTCCTCATCGGCGATGAGCGGGATGTCGTCGAGGTCCAGCGCCTTGGAGCGGCCGACACGGAGCAGAGGGTTCAGCCACGAGAAGGCAAGCTGGCCGAACAGGCCAGCGCGGTACAGCTCCGAGGTTGGCACGGTCCTGTCTTTGCCGATCAGAGGCTCTGACAAGCCGCTGCAGCCGTCGTTGGATGCGTCCCGGTGGCCCCACGGCAGCAGGGAGCCGACGGCGCAGAGCAGCAGGAGGAGGCTCACCGGCCACGCGATCGTCTCCGCGAGGCCGAGGCTGTGGCCCCCGGCAAGGATCTCTGCATTGTACGCGGTGACCAGCAGCGAGAAGAGCGCCCACCAGAGCACGGCCACGGCCCTCGCTGGCCTCGTCGGCTGGGCGTGCAGCGACGCCGCCAGCGCGATCCAGACCAGGCCCCTGACGAAGTAAGGAACCGCCGCCTTGATGTCGTAGGCGTCCTGGAGAGCCGTGACACCGTACGCCACGGCAGCCGCCACGCAGCACGTGGAGACGACGAGCAGCACCCACCCAGGAGCGCTGCTCCTCCGGCTTGCAGCTGCAGCGCACTGCCGCCGCCTGACGCAGGCGGCCACCAACGTGGAGACGTACGCGACGAGAAGGACCACATTGACACAGTCTATGAGTGTCCTCTGCACGCACGGGGACGCGACGGTGAGCCGCCCGCCGTCCTCTCCCCCGCAGATCCAAGATGACGACCAGCCTGCCATGCCTGCAACCAAGCAAACAAGCTCGTAATTATCAGCAGGTACGGGAAACCATTGATCCAACCAATAACTACGATCTAGCGACACGGAAGCAAGAAACAGGAAAGGATTTACACGAGCAATTAAAAGGTTCGGCCGTCTCCTCTCCGAGAGTTCTTACCAAGAACGCCCATGGCCGGATCGCCGTTGTCGGCCATTGCGGCCGCTGACATGTAGCGCGCCCGGCAACGAGAGGCCGAGGCGTCTCCTTCTCTGGCCTATTCCTGGACGGACGATGGAGGAGGGGGACGAGACAATAGCAGCTAGTTATTAGTTGGCTTTCGCTGCTGTTGGCTTGCGCGCTGTATTATGCATGGAGCGTGCCACTGGCAGCCACCAACCAGGCAGGGACTGAATGCACTGCAAAACTCGGACTCTTCCGCTGTCACTTTCAGCCGGCGGAACCAAAGATTGTATTTGCTATTCTTTTGAAACGGGGTGCGGACGTGTGGGGTTGTTGTCCTTAGCTGCTTGCCCTCGTGCAGCTAGAGCGGTCTCGGCCTTCATCATTGGTGTGCATGCGTATGGCGTGACGTGGCACGTAAGCGGCGGCAGCGCTGGATCTGGCTGGCCAGAGATCGGAAAGAGGAGAGCCGTATCCGTTTGTCTTGGTGCAGAGCTCAAGAGCCCCTGCTCCTCGTGGTTATACCTAGTATCGGATAGTCGTTCTAAGTTTTCTAGATAGGTGTGTAGTTTTTATTGTATATTTAGGTATAGAACAAAAGTTATGTATCTAAAAAGTGCTAGAATGATTCACAATTTGAAACGAAAGAGAATATAAACGAAGCCTTCCTACCTCCATCATATTTTATAAAGGAGATAAAATTTACTCTCTCCGTCTCAAAATAAGTGCACATCTCGCATTTTGAAGAGTCAACTCATCTCAAGTTTGACCAATATATAAAATGTACTAATATTTATGAAACTAAATAAACATTATTAGATTAATCATGTAATCTATTTTCATAGTAATCTTATTTAGAGATAGAAATGTCAATATTTTTCTATAAATCTAATCAAACTTAAAATCATTTGACTCCTCGGGATTTGAGATGTGCACTTATTTTGAGACAGATGGAGTACTAAGCCCTGATTAAATCCACCTTGCTAATAGTTAGCAACTACTCCATCCATTTTAAATTGTAAATCATTTTATTTTTTCTAGATCCACAGAGCTTTTGATATGCACCAAGACATATGTATCTCAAAAATCTAGAACAACTTACAATTCCCAAACGGGGGAGTAAGAATTAGCAAGTATTGTTCCATTAATATTAAGAGGTGTGCTGGCTACTAGTAAGTTTTTAGCAAGGTACAACTTGCTAGCTAGCAAGTGCCAAAAATTCGAATATTATGGTTTGTTTGGATCTATCCAGCTAATTGTTAGTTGTGTTAGCTAGAAAAATCAATAATAAATAGCTAATTATTATTAGCTGGATAATAGGTAAGACATTAGTTTTTTTCTAAAAAGTAAGACATTAGCTGACGTACCAAACAAAGATTTCAGCTAGTTTTTAGTAACCAACTGTTAGTTGGATTCAAACGGGTCCTAAAACTAGGAGATCTAACATCTAAGTAGGGCCTAGTATATTACTCTTGCAAAAGACACTACTATCTCCATCCCCGAATGAAATTCTAGGTTTGATCAAAGTCTAGTATCACTATTTATGGTTCCAAATAGATATTACTAACGAAAATATATTCATAACAAATCTAATTATACTTATTTGAACTTTTTTTATTATGGTTGCGGAGGCGTCGTAAAGCGTTAGGTCAATGTTAATGATTAGTGGGCCTATATGAGGTAAGCCGTTGAGAAGCGTTAATGAGGAGGCGTTGGATGTGTCTATGGTCGGTGGGCCCATATCTTGCCGTAGAACGCCTCCAAAGTTAAGAGGATTAGGACTTCAAATAAAAAGAGTGACAATTCCGTTTCAGTAGTTATTTTTTTAATCAAAGGTAGAACCGTAAACCAAAGAAAGTAGCGCTGCATATCCCGTACATGGACACATGGCGCGCCGCCAAGCGGCGCCATGGCGGTGGTAGCGTGCGTGCATGGCGTGGGCTTCTTCGAGGCGACCAACCACGCGGCGTCTTGCGCGCACGTCGCCAAAGCGCTGAGGCCACGCGATGGCGTTCTTCAGCGTTTGCCCACGTGGAGAGAAAGCTGGACATGTCCGCGCCGCCGCCCATGGGGTATGGCCGCAAAGCATCGGCGGCCTCCTCTCCGTCGGCGCCAACACCGTCAAGGTTTCCTCCTTGCCGCCCTCGCTCTGACAGTAAGCTAGCTAGCTGTTGATCTTGCTTCGTCTTAGCGCGTACCGCACACACGGGTCGACTCACTCGGTGGATTTGGATGCATGAGCATGCATAGCAGCATTGGAGGAGTACACGCTGCGGTGAGGGAGGTGTGCGGGCGGGTGCTGGAGCTCATAGCCGAGGGCCTAGGCGTGGACCGGTCCCTGCTGAGGGCGATGGTGGTGGGGCGGGAAGGCAGCGACGAGCTGGTGCACGTGAACCACTACCCGCTGTTGCCGCCGGTGGAATGCGGCGTGTGGGGTTCGAGGAGCACACGGACCCGCAGATCATCTCCGTGCTCAGTCCAACCGCTTGCGGCGGGCCTGCAGAGATCAAGCTCTGGGACGGCAGGTGGGTCCCGCCCCCCGCCCGGAATCCTTAAATAAATCAACGCACGGGATGGTCGGAAGGGAGATGTGTGAAATGACCATAATGCCCTTGACAAATAAAATCAATAAAAATAGCTATTTTGGATAAGCATCAGGAAGCGTCAGCAAGCGTTATGAAGCATTTCCAACCATTGTAAAAGGGCTCATATGCTGACAAGATGCGCCAAAATTTGAAGCGACGCATTGCAGGGCTCGAGTCCGATCCGTCCGGCCTGTTGTCAAAGACCAAACTCGTGGATCATGCGCTGAATATAAAATGACATATACAGGGAGTAGGCGAGTACGTAGGATCATCGATCAATGATCATCCATCGTTAAGTTACTATATACTTTTTTTTGGTACGTAGAATTTATATTTAGACATATATTATATTTAGATGCATAGCAAAATGAATGAATCAAAAAAATTAAAATGACTTATAATTTGTAATAGAGGGAATACGTCTTCTTTTTCCGACTGTGCTTTAGTCATCGACTAGACGCTGTTTCGTCGTCAGTCTATCTTTGCCATGCAGGGGGTGAAACCATAGTGTGAATGGGTTGCAAATGTACCCCAAAAATAAAATAAAATAAATAATTATTTTGATTAAAATTCTATCACATATATATATGTATCCTTCGTATAACACATACTCCCTCAGTCCCCCTATATGTGTCGTTCTAGGAACAAGAGTAAATGTTAGATTCACTCAATCTTCAATGCATCTGTACACAAAGTATGTCCAGGTTCAGATAATTTTTTGTTGCACATGTTTAAGAGCCAAAATGACTTACATATAGGGATAGGGGGAGTAAGTCAATGCACCCACAAGAGAAATAAATATAATTCCTTCGAGTTTGTCTAGCTTTGCCACTATTGCCGCGTGCTTAATTACCGTTGTAGTCGGTCGATCACCTTGGTACCACTATTGCTTCATGGTAAGGCGATCTATCGGTAAGTTAGAAAACTAGTACTCCCCCTATTCCGTCAATAAGCTAGAAAAGTAGTACTCACCCTTATTCCAAATTCTAAGATGTTTATAAACGTCTTTTCTAGATATATAGTTTTGGGTATGTACTTAAATATATTAATATATAGTAAAAACAATGTATTAAAAAATCAAAACATCAAAACGTTTAATAATTTGGAACACAGGACAGTAACTAGCAAGTTCACTTAAACAAGGTAGGCCCTGCTGCAGACACACTCAGTAATTGATGAAGCGCCGGGACACATTGCAAATGCTAACACGTCCCGTTCAGAGAGAGAGACTGAAAAAAAGAATGTAAACACGCTGTTATCCATAGCATCGATTCAGATTGAACAGTATATGGGCGTTCTGAATACTCAGGAGCGGATCTGGCGTGCTTTTAAAGCTGAGACTGGGTGTTCCTGTCATTCCAGTGCCCAAAAAAAAAAGAGCATAACAAAGCTTCCTAAGTACTAACTACCAAGATTGGAGGCATTCAGTACGTGGGGCGTCGGGGCGTATATTTCTTTAAATATGGGGCACATGGTATGCTCGTGACTTTTTATTTTTATTTATTCAAAAGGCTCGTTTGTGTCTGATCCTGTGTGATTAAAATTTCAGCTGGTCGTGCTTGAATTCTTGTGATTTTTTAAGGCTCTTATATATAGCTATGATCGTTGATCGACATGCATGCACTTTGCTAACCAATTTACCAACGTAGATTTAGTTCGTTTGCTTTGGAGTCTAGTTATTCAAACTGGCAATCAATTGTTCACTTGCTAGAGGCGAAAATATGGAATCCAATTCAAAAATATATATATAGATTCGAGACTTAAAAGAATTTTGAAACTTGCCACATCCATAGTGCATACACATATGTACTCACATGCAAAAGCTAGAATTCAAACTCGCACTTGAAAATTTCATACAAAAATAACAAATTCTAGGTTCATGTACACTAAAAGACAAAACTCCTAGGTTTCGTCTTTTAAGTGCACATGAACCTCGTATTTTTCATTTTGGTATGATTTTTTCTAGTTTGAGTTTATATCTCAACTTTTCTGTGTGAGTAAATATTTGTATGCACTATGAATATACCAAGTTTCAAAAAAAAATTGAATGACTAAAATACGTTTTGAATTAGTTTTCATGTTTCCAGGTTTCCACCACATATTTTACCATTGTACACGCATGGGCATGCATGCCAAACAGTGCAAACTAATATGCCTCTGTTAGTGACCAAAATATAAGACGTCGTCTACAAGGGGACACTTGGTCTAACAAATTCTATGAAAGTATAATTTATAAATAATCTATTCTAAAACAATACATTTTGTGATGAGAATCTTGCAATATCTACTTAGTGTGAAATCCAACGGGGGTAATTGAATTTGTCTCGCATTTTCAAATAAGTCTATGTACTTCTAAAAACCCGATTTTAAAACCCCTTATAAACTTGTTAAATGTATCACCAGAGGTTTAAAACCGGTTTTGGAATGCTGGTTTTGTACACGTGGCCGATTTTAAAACCCCTTA